ATGGAAGGATGATCACCTAGGGGAGCAATCAGGTAATAAAACAGTAAAGACCGAATGATCTCATTTTCTTTTTTAAAATTGGAGAAAATATCTAGGAGGATAACTAAGGTGTTAGTTTTCATCACTGAGAGGTGATTTATGATTAGTCCTTAATTTCCTCTTCTTTTGTATTATATTTTCTTGTTATTTTCAATTCATTCATTCATTCAACCCATATTTATTAAGCACTTCATGTGTTCTAAACCATGCTTTTCTATGGTGGAAACCTTATATTGTGTCATTTTTTAAAAACTAAATATTTAAAAGAAGAGATCCCCAAAAGTTAATGTAAGAATGTACAAGCAATTGGGGTGAGTTGCATGGAAGCCCACCTCATACAGAAGATGCTGAGGAAGATGAGGACCAGTGTAACTAAGGCAGAGGCAGCTGGGAACTGGGTCTAAGATATCTAAAGCTACATGGTGAACAATTGTTAGCCATATTGCATGTACCTATGCCACTCTTTCTACCAACTTAGAAAACCGTTTCCCAACTCCATAAAGGGGCCAGTGGGTAAGACACTAAAACATGGCGAAGATGTAGCCTAATAATATAGTCCTATAATGCCCCCTTCTTCTGACAGAGAAAGTGAATAAAAGAAAGAAAGATTTGGGCAATCTATCTATTCAATCTGGGGATTGAAAAAAAAACCTGAGTGACTTAACACAGTATCTTCATCATGGTAGAGTCTAGACTGCACTAGATTGGGATAATTTTGTTAAGCGGAAGTATTTTAAAGCACATACAGCAAAGTATCAGAATAGTGGTGATGGAGAGGCAGAAATGCAAACATTTCCATGTTTTTCCTACAGACCTCTTTGACTTGCTGGTCTCACTGAAGTATGTAGGGTTTTTTTGTTTGTTTGTTTGTTTTTTTAGATGGAGACTCACTCTGTCACCAGGCTGGAGTGCAGTAGCACAATCTCAGCTCATGGCAACCTCCGCCTCCCAGGTTCCAATGATTCTCCTGCCTCAGCCTCCGAGTAGCTGGGATTACAGGCACGTGCCACCATGCCTGGCTAATTTTTTGTTATTAGTAGAAACAGGTTTTCACTATGTTGGCCAGGCTGGTTTCTAACTCCTGACCTCAGGTCATCCGCCCACCTCAGCCTCCCAAAGTGCTGGGATGACAGGCGTGAGCCACCGTACTTGGCTGGTATGTCCTTTCAGGTGCTAAGACTAAATAATTGTTCTTCTGACATTCAAGATGTCAGTCATTTTCTATTGCATCTGAGGTTATGACTTTTGTGTGGTTCAGAAAACCATGGAGATAAAAAGATTTTACAGGGTTATTGGAAGATGAGGACATATAATTCCTAGACCATCGTGTATCACATATTATTTCAGCTATGAGATTTTTATAGTGAAAACTCAGGTGTAGAATAATTGAATAACAATTGAACCTGAACACTAGAGTACATTGTTTTTAGTAAGTTCTCATATGAATTCAGACAATTAGATATGGCTTCAACCACACTGATGCCTTATTGTAAACAGAGTGTCTATTTCATTTTCTGCATCTCTCTCTTCCCATTGACATTGAATAATTCTCTTCCAGCATCCTGAAATAATAGTTCTGGTGTGTAGCTGGCTGACAACTCAACATGCAATCAAAACCATGCTGGCCAGATATGTGTAACTGCTTCTAGGCCATTGCTGATCCATCTGTCACTTTCCATACATTGGGTTGGAAAAAGTATTCAGTGAGCAGACAAAGTCTACCAAGCATGCATGCATGTACACATCACACACACAGAGACAAACATACTTATTTGCCCTGTATGGGATTATGTGGGCGTATGTATTGATCTAGAATATAAGCCAATATTTTTCAACAACAGTTTTGTCTCCGTTTACATAACAGTTTGTTGTTGTTGTTGTTGTTGTTGTTGTTGCTTAATTTCAAAATAATCGATCCTTTCTCCTCCTTCCAAGGAGAAAACCGCAAATGTTCCTTTCACTACTGCCATTATTCAAAAGACCCTTATCTGTACTCCAGAGAGAACCTGGTTGGGGCACAAATATTTGCATCAGCTATTTTGGTTCTATAAACACTCAAAGGAGCAGCAATAGTAGGAACAAAAGAGAAACCTAGAAACAGTTGTTCTAGTCTTTAATATAACACTTAATTTTTCCATTAATGTATGAAAATTCTCCAGATGCTAGTTATAAGCTTGCATTGCTATTTTTATTTTTATTTTCATCAATAATAATCTCAGCTTTTATTGGGCATTTCTTTTCCAGAGAGCTCTAAGAAGTTTATGCAAATCGTTTTTTTATCTTCACACCATCTTTGAGACATAGCCAAGAAGTAGATCATTTTCTACTTGAAAAGATAAAAAGAAATTTGTAGAGATGTCAGCACAGGCAAAGATAGCTGGCCTGGCTCCAACCAATCCTCTCTCCAGCCATTGCCACTCTGGCAAACCGTGATCTTTTTAATTTTTTTTTTTTTTTTTTTTTTTCTGGAACAGAGCCTCACTGTGTTACCCAGGCTGGAGTGCAGTGGCACGATCTCAACTCACTGCAACTTTCGCTTCCTGGGTTCAAGCAATTCTCCCTACCTCAGCCTCCCGAATAACTGGGATTACAGGCTCCTGCCACCATGCCTGGCTAATTTTTGTATTTTTTAGTAGAGACAGGGCTTCATCATGTTGGCCAGGCTGGTATCGAATTCCTAACCTCAGGTGATCTGCCCACCTTGACTTCCCAAAGTGCTGGGATTACAGGTGTGAGCCACCACATCCATCTTTTTTAAAAGAAAGTTAGGTCGTGTCTTTCTGATGCTTGCCCTGAGGTCTGCAAGACCTTGCCTCATCTGTCTGCTCTGAAAGCATATCTCCTGCCTCCTTCTTCGCTCACTATACTTCTGTGTTATTAACTACCTAGGGTTTGGTACCCCAGAATCATTTCCAGTGACAAAAATTTATGTGAGAGTTATTTATGAGGAAAGTTTCCAGAAAAAAAAATAGGAGAATAAGGAACTGGAACCAGGAAGGGAAGGAAACCAATGAGATGAAAAATCAAGCAAAGTCCCAGTGAGGACATCTTCAGCTGAATTCCACAGAGGATCTCTGGGAAGGTGACCCTCATCAGGGGCAAGGGAGATGGAGAATTATTCCTCCACACTCATCAGTCATTGGTAAAGGGCTTCCCTGAGGGACACACATTCCAAAAGCTTCTAACTCTCTGGACTTGCAGGCAAAGTGAATTCTGGCACCCTGAAGGCAGCTCTCCAACAAGGCAATGCAGGTGCTGCCACTGGGAGGGAAACACATCAGATGCTAATAAATCAGAAGGGATAGGGGCAGAGCCATGACAGTGACTGCTACACTGGGCTTCTGTCCTAGAACACTCCATGGAGGCATTTTGAGGCCTCATCAAAGTCAGCTCCCCTCTGAAACTCTCTCCCCATGGTCCTTTTCAGGGTGCCTTCTTTTTCTTAAGATGGCCTCTGATTTATTTTTACCCCTTTCACTCTCCTTAAAAATGGAAGTGAGACTATTTATTTAAAGGAAGCTCTCCCTCAATTCATCCCTCCAATGCCCTGTTACATCCTTCTTGGCATTTAACACTATCAGTCACTGTTTGCTTGCATCTTGCCTATTGCCCCATTTGCTGCACTACACTAGCTAACTGAAGCATTTCCCCAGTCATTATGTTACAGAACCAAGCCGGACCTGCGCCTCACAACAGCTTCACTGGATCTCTGTTTTTTGTATTTTTATTGTTATTGCAGTTGTGGTTTTCAAGTCAGTTTAATAAAAGAAGAATCCCAGAATTAATTACCCCAGTGGAATGTATGCTCTATGAAAGCAGGGAGAGTGTGTGTCTTGCTGTCCACTGTATACTGAGCACCTGGCTCAGCTTCTGATACCCAGGAGGCACTCACTCAACTGGTATTTCTTTAAGAAGTAAATAAGTATATCATACTTTTTTCACAAAACAAGTTCATGTACTCTGCTATGGATAGCAATTAATTTTAAGATACCTAAAAACAAACTTGGAAGAATAGAAAAAATTTTATGGTATTAAAAGCCTAAACTCTATGGTAATATATTTACAAGCTAAGGCCAAAGTAATTCAAGCATTAAAAAAAAAAAAAAAGTAAGTTAAATACGAAACTTTCTCCTCTACATTTAGTGGAAAAGTCAACAAATGGTAGAAATGAGAAAACTAAAAAAGGATTTTGGGGGGGATGCTTCTATTTTAATAAACCAGATTGTTTCTAAATTGGGTATGGGAACTTCTTTCACACATAATGTTTATTTTTAAATTACTCTCCCCCCTAAAAATAAGGTATTTACCATGTGAGCTGAGCTTACTTGAGTTTCCTTTGGTAGATGGATACAGAAATGGCCCCAATTCTTTCTCTCCTATATTCAATGGGCGTTTGCTGTTCCCCGTTACTGAGAGCCATTGTCTATTTTCTCACCTCTTAAATCTGGATAGCTTTTGCCAATAGAATGAGGTCAAAGTGGTAATGTTCCAGTTCAGATTCTAGGCCTCAAGGGAACTTCTATGCTTCTATTCTCTACTGGAACTCTGCCATCATCATGTGAATACATCCAGACTGAACTGGAAGGCGAAGAGGCCACAAGGAGCCAAGATGATTTCTCCCAGCCATGACCATCCTAGACCAACCAACTCCAGCCAACCCACCACTGACCACAGAACATGAACAACCTCAATGAGACTGAGATTGGTCAAGTCCAGCCTGTATCAGAGAATCTACCCCGCAAACACACAGACTTATAAGGAGTAATAAATCATTGCTGTTTTAGCCACCACAGACATTTGCTGCACTACAATAGCTAACTGAAGCATTTCTCCCAGTCATTATGCTACAGAACCAAGCTGGACCTGAGTCTCACAACAACTTCAGTGGCTCTCTGTTTTTTTGTATTTTTATTGTTATTGCAGTTGTGGTTTTCAAGTCAATTTAATAAAAGAAGAATCCCAGAATTATTTAGTATAAGTGATTAACGTAAAAAGCAACCTCAACAGGCAAGCTTTTCAGAACAATAGCTCTTTCAAACCTCCAGTAGTCTACCGAGGCTTAAAAGCAAAGCATTTACTTTGGCAAAAAAGACAAAAAATACACATGCCAAAATAAAATAAAATAAAGAAAACTGTCTAGTTCTACTCCCTATTATACCAATCAACAATATTCATTAAGATTCACATACTTTCTTCTTAACTTTATAAATAATTAGCTATGATTTAATAGTAAGAATAGGATTAAATGAATCACTGTTCACTTTTTTTTAAGCTACAGTGGTACGTGGGATTTTTCTCTTGCTGTTGCTTTTACCAGATCATCTGCCATTTCATTGTCCTGTGCAAAAATAAAAATCTAGGCACCTGCCAAACCAAAAGAAAAAGAGAGAAATAGGAAGGAGGGGGGAGGAGGAAAGCTTTGTTCAATGTAACTGCTCATTGGCCTATATGAAAAAGAATAGCAAATAAACAACCTGCCACAAATTGAGGTGTATACGGAGGTATAGACCTTTAAAGCATATTTCAGTTGCCACAGTTACCATTTTGCAAAATAAAATAATGCAGGAGAATTGTCAAATGAAATTTTGCTCCATTTCTCGTGGGGGTTCAATGCATTTTTTTTTTATTATTGACAGTCTTTTCCTCCAAATTTGGGTATGACAGTTTCAGTTCTAATTGTGTATTGTTCTGAGGAATGGCTCATTTTCTGATGTGTTTTTATTATATCAAAAGCTGAAAATTTTAAATCAAATCACCCTTTCTTTTTCATTCTTTTTGTCCTCTCCTTCCAAACATGTGTGCCTATACATGTATTTTTTATTGATTTATAATTGAATAAAGAATAGTTTCACTGCTGCAAAGAATTTTGGAAATGACAAGTTTACCTCCTTATGATATTTAGAATTTATCATTTTACTTGCCAAATTTTGGAGTTGTGGTTCCCTGTGAGTTGTTAAGGCATTCTGTAAAGTTTAATTTATCCAATGTAAACCTTGAAGAATCCTTTATCTACACGGATAAAATAACAACAGATCTTTGATCCTTTGTGCTAGCCTTCCATGGTGGACGTTTTTTTTTTTTTTTTTTTTTTTTTGCAGTACTTCCTATAACCTATTTTCCCTTTCTCCTTTACTAATTTCACTCTGAATTTCTGTGACATGTGGTTTGGGTGGGATTGATCCCACTCCCAGTTGTATCCAGCCATGTATTTGCTAAAGCCAATCAGTGAATCTCGTCTGCTGTGTAAATATAAAACAAAACTGATAGATGCACTATTTGAGCCCAGTGTAAGTTCTCATCTGAATCATTCCCTCTGGACTGATCAATTGAAAACACCAATAAATGCTATTTTCTTCTTTCAGCCAGTTTGAGTTTTACACCACAAAGTATTAGCAAAAAATAAAAATTTGAAACAGAACTATTGAAAGATAACATGGCAAACTCTGGAAATTAATGTGTTTCTCATTAAGAGTATCCAAGCAGGGTGGAATAGCAGAGAAGAAATCCAAGCATCATAGAAATGGTGTTCTTCTAAGATTACTGTCAACCCACCCTTTTGGTCCTGAATAGTGAATCAAAATGCATGAAACTTAGATTAATATAAAGCCCACCGCCTGTCTCACCCAGATGGATAGTAAAGTCACAGACAAGGCAAGTACAGAGAAGCCAAAGACCCAGATTCCCTTGAAATAATTAATGCACCAAATAATTGCCTCAGAGCCCCTCTTTGTTTCGCTACAGAAGTCTTAGTCTGTGGGAGCCAACCACAAAAATAGAAACCACTCTAGACACTCAACTGAGAAGCTGAGAAGTCAAACAAGGTTAGGATGGCAACCCAGAAATTAGCGGCTGCGTGAAGCTGGAGAATCCCCTAGGCAGGAGGGCCAAAGGGAGGAGGTATTACTGAAGCCCAGGAGTGAGCGGAGAGACCAGAACTGCAGAGGACCTGACCAGTGGGAGGTGGTGCCACAGATGATGCTCAGGCTAGTTATGCTGCAGGAGGTATACAAAGGAGGAGAAATATCCTGGCTTCTCCCTTCCTCCCATACTCTAGTCTCTTGCAAGGGCCTCCAGTAGCTAACACAGCCAAAAGCCCCTGACCAGGGAACCTAGGAAACACAGACTGTAGTTATCGGCTCTTCTGTCATACAAGGCAGAGCAGGACAAAGCAAGGGGGAAATCTGAACCAAGGACCAGCACAGGATCTAATCTCACTGGGTGACAGAAACACACTGACCTCAGTTAGCACACACAGGGAAGGGACAAAATCATGGGATGCTTTTTGTCTACATGCACAGTCAAATTGAAGCCAAAATTCAAGGCATTTGTTAAACCTAGTGTTATGTGTTCAATCAGCTCCTACTTACGATTCATAATTGGAGTATTCCATGCTTCCTGATCCCCTGCTCAGAGCCTTCTTCTCTAACAGTTTTTTCATCTCGCTAAACAGCAACCCCACCCTAACAACTGCACAGGCCAAAAATCTTGACTTATTTCTATTTTTCTCTGCCCCTAGACCACATCTTCCAGCAAAGCCTAAGAGCTCTACCTTCAAAATAGATTGAGAGGCTGAATGTACCTCCATATGTGGGGCTGCCATGCCGGCCCCAGCCACTATCATCTCTACCTGAATCACTGCAGTCGCCTTGAAGCAGGTCTCCTTGCCTCTGCTGTCATCCTTCCTCACCCTACTGCACAGAGGAGCTGGGGCAATCTTTGTAAAATATGTTTGTTTCTGTCACGGCTCTGCTCAAACCTCCACTCCCATCTCCTTCCGTATGTAGAAAATCCAAGGAAACCTTTCAAGAGCAAGACCTCTTCAAGTCCAGCAAATTCATCTTGGGTAATTGCCCCCACTGTCATTAAATTCACATGAAATTAGGCTACGTTTGTGGTTTAAAAAAAAAAAAAAGTTCTATTGATTTTTACCTGCAATGGTATAGACTGCTATTTCATGTCCAGAGCACTATTCCTGACACAGAGTAAATATTTGTTGAAAGGCGTAAATGTTGAATGGGTAGATGGATGGATGGATGGATTGATGGACATACCAAGAATATGAGATTAACATAGAGTATAACATAACCACCATAAAGTGGTCTGAGCTGAGCAATAGAATATTATTTTTTAGATTATTTAAATAGGAGTTTAAAAGGAATCCATCCGAACCATGCTCTGAGTTATTTATAAAGTGAACTATGTTATATAACATATTTTTGTAAATCTGCAACTTTGTGAGCTTGGATAAAAATGGTTGTAAAGAATAAGAATTAACCCACACAATATAGAGATTTCCAAAGCAGAATTATTGCCCAGAGCCAAACTCTACAACTTAACCAAGCTACCTTGAACAAAGTTCATCACGGAACGTATGAGGCAGTCAATCTCATCTTTACATGAATAAGTAAACTGAGGCCCAAATGGTTTATTTGGTCTACTTTTTAAAGAAATATTATTGCATATCCACTATAGGTTAGGCACCAGATAGGATAGGAATGATTCCAACATGAACAAAGCAGACATAAATGCTAGGCTCATAGGATGCTGGAAGAAGTTAACTTTGATCAAACTATAAGTTTGATCATGCCTACTACAAGTAGAGACAGGACTGCTGTGAGAAATGTTAACAAAGGGAATGAACCAAGTCTAAGAGTTTAAGCTGGGACTTGGAGAAAATAATAGTGCAAATTCTTTTAGTGGTTCGCAAATGTTAGGATGCCTCAGAATCACTTGGAAGTTTTGTTAAAATATAGATTGCTCAGTTTGGCTTCAGCGTTTCTGATTTAGTGGGTCTGGGCTGGGACCTGAGAATTTGCATCGCTAATAAGTTCCCAGATTGATACTGATGCTGCAGGTTTGGGGACTGCATGTTGAGACCTACTGAGCTAGGTAAAGTTGGAGACCAGGGGCTGGAGAAATGGTCTTCTAGGCATAGGAACAGCATATGGGAAGCCCCTTGTATAAAACTTTGGAATCCAAATAATGCCTTATATTATTCAGGGTCCCAGCAAGAAACAACGATACACCTAAGCAGTATAATTTTTAAGTTTAATGAAGTGACTATTCACAAAGCTTTAGGCAGAGATAAGAGAAACGAACCAGGGAAGACTTGGCGAAACATCAAAGGCTAGCAACAAAGGAGCCTTTACCCACCCTAAAACTCAGAGTCATGGGAAGAGATCAGCAAGGAAATCCAGAGACAGCTGGAGCCACAGGACAAAGCCGCCTCACAGGAGCAGTGGCCCTTGGTAGAGAAAGGTAGATATTTCCAACCTACAACACGGCAGGGAGAGGGCCAAGAGTGATTCATCCTCTTCCCCCGACCTCCCATTTTCCAACCTCGTTTCAGTGCCAATGAAAAGCCAGAGGTCAGGGAAATTCAGTTGATGCTTTCCAGAAAGTCAGGCTCCTGAGGCCCAGAGTAGAAGGGAGGAACGGAACACTAGCCTTTGCCATGGGCTAGAAGAGGCAGGCAGACAGGCAGGCAGGACCTTGTGGAAGCCTTTGTAACCAGTTTCCTATTGCAGTGTAACAAATCACCACAAACTTAGCTGCTTAAAATAACATGTATTTATCATCTCCCAATTCTATGGGCCCAGAGTCCAGGCATGCTCAGCTGGGTTCCCTGCTTCAGGGTCTCACCAGAATGCAATTCAGGTGTTGGCCAGGCTGCATTCTCATTCAGAAGCTTCACTTGAGAAAGTCCTGCTTCCAAGCTCACTCAGGTTGTTGGCAGAATTTGGTTTGCGTGATTGTAGGATTGAGGCCCTCAACTTCCAGAGGCTTCCTGCATTTCCTCAGCCTGTGGGCCTTTCCCTAAACAGTTCCCAACATGGCTGTTTGTTTCTTTAAGGCCGGCAGCAGACTAAGAGGTGGAGTTTAACTAAGGTAGCATAAACACTGGAGTGACAGCCCACCATCTGCCATATTGTATTAGTTAGAAACAAGTCGCAGGTCCCACACACACACAGGGGAGGGGATTAGGCAAGGACGCAAATAACAGAAGGCAGGATCATTGGCGGTTACCTTAGAGCTTGTCCAAAATATCGCCTAACATTGAAAATCATATTAAGAATTTAGGATTTTATCTTAAAGCCAATAATGTGAAGCCATTCAAAGAGCATGCTAGATCAAGGAGCAGCAGAATTAGGTCTACACCTGTGGGCTCACGTTAGTTCTCAAATAGTCGATCAGTGGAAAAACTCAAAGGGTCTGCTTAAGGTCACAGAGTTAGTTAGTAGCTGAGCCAGGCTCCAGCTCTTTGAGAATTACCATGCTCCAGCATTATTACAAGGTCCCTTTCTGTTTCATAATGCCATAGTTCTCTGCATCTACAAGATGATTAACCGTCAAATTTAATAGTGTAGCATCCACGTGAAGGATAGAGAAGTAACAGACTATTTTGGTTAGCAAATATTTGGACTTGGTCTTATATAAAATCTAAAACAAATTCAGAGTTTTTAATTTTTTTCCCTTTTACAACGTTTATGTGTATGGACTCTTTCTTTGGAAATAAAAGTTCTTTCTCCTGGACATGATCTGGAGGGGTTACTGGATCCCTCATGCAAGTGGAAGAACTCAGTTCACTTACCTCTCCCCTCAGCTGCTGGTCTACCTGGGCTGCCAGATCTTGAAAGCAGGATCTAAGCCATCTCACAGGCTACAGCTAGAAACACAATTAGGTACAAGCTTCCTGGAAAAAAAAAAAAAAAACAGCAAAATATGCATCCAGAGCCTGGCAGTGGTGCACTGGCTCATGAGAATCAATTGTTTAATTCTCAGGAATTTTTCAAGCCAGGCATTAAACCATTGGTAGCTCGAAATCAGCAATGGTTGGAACATTTACACTCTAGAAACTTACAAATGCTACAAATCAGGTTTGGGTTTTTTTCTGTAAGCTTTTTGTTAAACATTTACCGGCACACCACTGCTTTAAAGTGTTCAAACTCTCAACCCTAACAACTCAACTCTAAGAAATATTCAGAGAAGCACACAAATATTTACATATAAAAAATTCTTTGTAGGAAATAAAGTTGGAAATAACCCAAATATCTAAGAAGCAGCAGATTAAATGAAATGCTATGTAGCCACTAAAATTACATTTTTAAATCTATTTGATAACATGGAAAATTATTCAGCATATAAGGGGAAATGAGAATATAAAACTCCATATATAGTATAAGAGAAAATTTTTGTGGGGAAATAGTATGTATGTATACAGAAAGAGAATTTAAAATGTTTTAAAAACTCATAGTATCGGTGATATCTTTGGTGGGATAAAAGGTAACTTATTTTCTTTTATATCTTTGTATATTTTCCAAATATTCTTTGATAAACAAGTATTGCATTTGTAATCAGGCAAAAAAAAAAAATCCAAAAAAAAAGTAAGGTTGGAAGAAACGGGAAAATATGGGCCTAAAATCAGCCAACATTTTATGCTTACCATAGCATTTGCTGTGCCATATTGACACCTACCCATCAGAAATAGACTACATACTTTCTGCCTCCCAGGTATAATAGAATGGTGACTCTGGATTATGTTGAATCTGTGCATTTTTAGTTCTCTGAGCTCTTAAGAATGTAGCCAGTTTTCAGAATGTAGCATAGAATTGCACTTCTGACCGAAAGCCCATAAAAACAGTGAATTAAGCACCTAATTTATCACTTACAAGTTTATTCTTCTCTTCACATCCATTTCCAGGCCTCCCTCTTAGGAAGGAGCCTCACGTTTTCTTGCAGAGACTGCAACGACGCTCTGGTCCCACGACGCTCAAGCCCCTCTCCACGACAGGGCATGACTTATCTGATCAGAGAGTTAGGAGAGGCTCGTTTGGAGCCAACTGGTCCAGAGATCAACGTTCCACTCTGCTCTCTGCCTTGGAGGGTTGCTCCCCACTCCCACATCATGGGGGAATGCCTGCAGTTGACCAGCTGTGCCAGTGACTGGAGGTAAATGATGATTTTAATGGTGAGTAGGCAAACCCACTTGGCCACAGATCTAACCCATTCTCCAATCAAGTTTATCAGTAATCTAGGCCATATGATTTCCCCCTTCTCTAGCATCTATCTATTACTTCATCCCAACTTTAGGAGAATATAGAGATATTGATTACCAGTCTCCTCCAAACTCCAACACAATCCATCAGTCAAGCAGAAACTGCTGAAGACAAGGGTCACATCTTACATTCCCATTTTTGTATTCATAGCACTTACCATGGCCATTTATGCACATAAAAGTGCCCCATAGAAGAGTCGGGGTGGAGAGGAGAAGAAAGCTAGTCAAATAAAAAGATTCAGAGTGCTATCTCTTTACCCGTTACCTCTCTTTATGTCCTACTGAATTCAGTAAGAGTGGCCCTTCTTTCAGGCAGATTTTCCCCATTATTCCCATCCTTGGTTTAATGGTTGGTGCAGCATTTGTGGTTTAAATAATTTACAGTGATGGATGGGAGCTAACACCAGGTGAAATGGGGTCTCACCTGAGGAAAATCCTTAGTAATGAGAGACACGGGAGAGGTATGGTCATCAGCTCTTAATTATATTCTGTCTTCTCTTGGCTGTCTCCTAGTTTCTCCTTCTTCCCTCCTTTAACACATATTTTAAATAAAGTGAAAATTTAAACTGGGAAACATCTCTTTGTACTCAGTATAACTTTCTGTTGCCTTGGCTAGAGCCCCCTGACTAAATCACTCCTGAAAGTCTTAACACCATTTCTTCCTTCTCATCAATTGGTACCAATTAGACACCTTCCAGGTAGAGAAATAATTTACTTAACTGCATAAGAAAATGGCCACTTCAAGCCCTTTAAGAATTTTGGTTCTCAATTACCCAGCCTTACTTCTCCTGTGAAGTGATAATTAGAGTCTAGATGATAACTGGATTACCAAGGACATCTCTCCTGACAGTCGTTTAACATCTAATCAAGTGTTAAGGTCGTAAATTATGCATTTCTCAACAGCATTCAGACCCATTTGAAAACAATTTGAAACAGTTCAAGAGTTCCTAGATGGTCTTCAGTTTTACAGGGCTGTGAAGGGTCCTGCTTAAAGGAATTACCCGCTTAGAAGAATTACCCAGTTAAAGGAATTACCCACTTAAAAAACTCAAACGTGTAAGGCTCTCTCAGTTCTTTAATCTGCTGCAGATCATTATTTTTTAAACTGACAATTGAGTGTCCTCCCCTCCCACCACATAAGAGAAATTGGAGTGTTTCCCACAGTGTCAAGACGCCTCCCCAGGGAGCTCAGATAAAAAGATTCTAGAGAGAATTTGAAAGGGAGAAAAATGACTTAAAAAAAAAAAGCCTTACAACTTTGTTTTTCTTACAACTTATTCAAAAGCAGGTCCAAAAATTAAAAATTCATTACTGCAATACTGAAAACTACGGACTGTGCTTCTCATTTCTGGGTGCACAGAGAAAAAACTATCCTAAGTGATTGGGGTTAAGGAGACGTGGGGAAAGGGAGAAAGGGGACTGCCATGTCTTGCTTTGCGCACCTTTAAACAAAACCAAGCTTCCTGAAAGCAGTGGGCTCTTCCAATGACATAGGCCCTATTAGAACAATTCTCTCCACTCTCACCACTGTCAACCCATGTCTTCAATTCCACCAGAAACCTGAGTAGAAGTCTATATCCCAAAAAGCAGCCATCATCATAGTCTTATATTTTGCAACAAAAAATTTTCCCCATCAGTTGGTCTATCGGTCCCTCTGTCTTCCCTTCCATTCCTCACGGGCAGAAATGTGGGTGTCTCTAAAAGCACTGAGCATCACATTCATTTATGACAGCATGTCTCTAACTCCCCTTTAATAACAACAGCCACGCTTCTTTTGGAGCCTGAGAATCTGTTCGCATGCTCAGTCTCTTCCTCTCGGAAGGAGAAATGGTATAATTGGAAGCAAAGATTGCACCATGTAATTGTACCAAGATAAGGATCCATCTTTAGTCTGGCCCAAATCAATTAGAATATTTTTACTGCTTAATTTGATCTGAAGAGCCTAAGGAAAAAAAAATCTGTCTTCTTGGAGGAACAGGCAAAGTCTGACACATACGGTTTCTTCCCTCTTCGTCCCTTACTTGCATCTCAATAACATTCCATATATTAAAAAGATGAGAACCAGAAATCCAAAGTGAGGGCAGTCCTTTTCCATCCCTTCTGCTACATCTTAAGACTTCACTCATTGGAACAAGCTGAATTATTTGTGTGGAAAATAGATTGAGTCTCTTCAAAACAAATATATTTTATTTCAGTATAATTCTTAGAAAAAAGAGAACAGAATTGGTGTAAGATACATAAAAGATCATCTTACCTGGGCCAATGTAGAAAGCCTCTTGCCTGATCTCCTCGTTTAGGTTTCTAAATCAAGATATCCCATCATCATCACTCTCCTGATTAACAGCCTGTGATGGTCATGCATGTCTAAAGGAAGAAAATCCAAGCATCATTCACAATTGGGCTCTTACCCACCTTTTCACCCTTACACTCTGTCATTTTTCCTCAAATAAACATGATGCTTCCATCATCACTTACATTCTGCAAACAGGCATGCACATTCTTGTCTTTTTCTTTGCACCCACTGTTCCCCTTGTGTCTAATCTCTTTTCTTCATTCCTTACAAAATCCTCTTCATCCCGCAAGAACTAACTCAAATGTCACCTCCTCTACAGACCTCCTCTGTGAAGCTGATACAACATCTAGCACCCAGGTTCACCTGTCACTTTTCAACTTCTCTATTCTACTTTTATCATAGTTTATTTGTGTGTTTCTTGAGGGATTATAAATTTCCTGAGAGCCATGATCGTGTCTTCTAATTTATGTATATCAGTATCTCCTAGCACCTTACCGGGCATAAATGTGTACTATCTAGAAAGACATTCTAGAAATAAATCTGGTTTTCTTTTGTATTAAATGAGATTTTAAAATTTGTCTTTTAAAAATTTATGGATGCATTTTTATTTTGTTCAGACCCAAATTTCTGAACATTCATTCACATGAAAAGCTGCTATGCTAAAATTCAGAGAAATGCAAGAGCTGGTATTACAATCAATTTTCTTCTTACTTTAATCTTTCATATGAAGTTGTGCGTGTTTAGACGTGTCTTCACTTGCAGTCATGTTTGACAGGGGGTCTTTTGCTCTTTGTATATCCCCAGTGTGTGCCACATAAATAGAAGTCCTCCTCTCACTAGAATATTGACAGAAATAAATCACTTTGTAAAGCAGGCTCAGAAGATACTCTCCTGAATTTTGAAAGAATTTCTTTTACTGAGATGCTGAAAAAGTATATGATAAATTGTGATCATTAAAGTAGAGTAGTTAACATATAAAATCATTTGACTCAAAGAAAAGCAAGGTCCCAGGTGATGTACAAATTAGGTATATACAGAGCCTGGGCAACAAATACATCACTTAGGTGGTGTATTAGTCCATCTCGCACTGCTGTAAAGAACTACCAGAGACTGGGTAATTTATGAAGAAAAGAGGTTTAATTGACTCACATTCTGCAGGCTGTACAGGAAGCATGGCTGGGAGGCCTCAGGAAACTTACAATCATGGCAGAAGGCGAAGGGGAAGCAAGTTTCTTCTTCACATGGCTGCACAGGAGGAAGACAGAGTGAAGGGGGAAGTGCTACACACTTTTAAACAACCAGATCTCATGAGAACTCACTCACTATCATGAGACCAGCAAAGGGGAAATCTGCCCCCATGTTCCAATCACTTCCCATCAGGTCGCTCCCCCAACATTGGGGATTACAATTCAACATGATATTTGGGTCAAAACACAGTGCCAAACTATATCAGATAGGTAATGTTTCTACGGAGTCCTCACTCTTGGGCATTCAAGTCAGGGAGGACCATCAAGGCAAAACCTCATTCTCAAATGGTTGAGAATCCCACCTCCAATCTCCCAGCCTACAGGTGAGATATAAGTGCAGCATTTATACTTCCCCAGTTCCTGCTCACTTGGGGGCAGGCTTTGTACGTAGGCTTTTCACTTGCTCTAAATCTTGCCTTGGGACTGCTCTCCAGCCACAGCCTTCGGTCATCCCCCATGAATGGCCAGTCATCTAAGTTTATGGACAGGCAAACCAAGCTAACATAACCTCCCCCTCACCAACTTCTCCTCCACGGTCTTATCTTACAGGCTCACAGAATTCTGAAGCATCTCCAAAGTCTCTTCTTTCTCTCTACATCCTAACAGAGTTGTATTGGGTAATAATATAAAAATATCATGAAATATAATTAACAAAGTGAGGGAAGGCTCATGAATGCTGAGAGATAGGAACATGAGGCACAAGTGGTCTCAGTCTCACAGGAGGAGAGAAAAAGGTGATTGGGCATGGTGGCTCACCCCTGTAATCCCAGCACTTTGGGAGGCCGAGGCAGGTGGATCACCTGAGGTCAGGAGTTCAAGACCAGCCCGTCCAACATGGCGAAACCCCGCCTCTACTAAAAACACACATATTAGCCAGGTGTGGTGGTGTGTGCCTATAATCCCAGCTACTCTGGAGGCTGAGGCTGGAGAATCACTTAAACCCAGGAGACAGAGGTTGGATGACAGAGCGAGGCTGTCTCAAAAGAAAAAAAAAAAAGAGAACCCAGTACTTAGGGAAAAGCAGAATGTCTCAATAACCTTTGCCTGTTATCACAAGGGGATCATTGCTCTATAGCACAATTATATTTCCCTAGACTGAAACCGCAATGGCCACCTTGATACCCTACAGTACGGTCTTGAAGGTTCACTCTTCTTTCTATGCCTAAAAGGATCCCCCCGCCCACCCCTACCAGGGACCTCATAGGGTGGCAGCTTGTAGAAGGAAAGATGATTGCATAAAGGAAGAAGGGAGAATGGGACGCTTCACGGTGTCTGCCCATGGATGATGTGCTATGTGAGGTGGTAGATAGACACCATTAAATAAGATTAAATCCCAGAGTGAGGAAGTTATTCCCATAAGGCTTAATTATCTTTAGAGCCTTATGATGAGTCAAAGCTAAGTGCCAGTTTAGTGCTACCAGGTCTTTAACACCTTTCAACACTTGCTAGTTTCCCTTTATAACAGAGAGCCAGCAGACTTCAGACTCAGAACCTCGATCAGGCTACTGTATGCAGTGAGTTTTTTAATACTATTGTTTTGACATATTTAATTTTACAGTTATTTTCTGTTTGTGGCAAGTGATACTTTTTATTCATTATGTTCACATGACTTCCTCTTCAGAATAAATATTTAACATGAACAATGAATCAGTTTAAGGTGAAATAAAGTAAATAATTGTTCAGCTTTATACAATTATCATAAAAATCAGAAAGAATGGCTAAAGCTTGGGAAACATCAGTAATATAATCCTTAAAATATGGGATGATAAGATTAGAGGACCTGGAGTAAAAAATCTCATTTCTGCTCCTTTGCCAGTCCTGTGATCCAGAGCAAATGATGTAATCTCGCTCAGCCTCAGTTTCTCAACTATGAAATGGGAATGAAGATAATACTCCATACAAGATTGTGGTCGGCCCAAGTGAGACACATATAGAGGATGAGGCTGAGTAAATCGGTGGGCTGGTACTCATTACAATAAGAGGGCATGACCAGTGCAGGCCAATTAACTTACTTGTCCACTACAGTATTATACGCTAAGCCAGTGGTCCCAAACCTTTTTCCACCAGGGGCCGGTTTCATGGAAGACAACTTTTCCATGGACTAGGGGCAGGGGAATGGTTTCAGGATGATTCAAGCACTTACATTTATTATGCACTTTTTATTGCTATTATTATTATCTTGTAATATATATTGAAATAATTACACAACTCACCATAATGTTGAATGGGTGGGAGTCCTGAGCTTGTTTTTCTGCAACTAGATGGTCTCATCTGGGGGTAATGGGAGAGGGTGACAGATCGTCAGGCATTAGATTCTCATAAGGAGTGCACAACCGAGATCCCTCCCATGCACAGTTCACAGTAGGATTCACACTCCTATGAGAATCTAATGTCACTGCTGATCTGACAGGATGTGGAGCTCAGGCAATACTGTCAGCAATGGGAAGAGGCTGTAAATACAGATGAAGCTTGACTTGCTGGCCCACCGCTCACCTCCTGCTGTGCAGCCTGGTTCTTAACAGGCCACAGACCAGTCGTGGTCCACGGCATAGGGGTCAGGGACCCATGCTGTATACCATATGTAGCATTTGGTTGTATTTGCCTCCCCCAAGAGACTATAAGCTCCTTGATGGCAGTAACCATGTCTTATTGATCTGTATCTTGGAAAGTTGCTTCTCTGTAGTACAGATTTTATTAATAGTTTTAAATTGAATTAACCAGTTGAATGGATGATCTATTTGTCCTGACAATCCAACAAAGATCCTTGAGGTCATTGTCTGCTGTATCGCAACTATTAATGTGGTAGTTTCTCAGTAAAAACTCACTGATTGATAATATCTGCATCTCTTATCTGGACTACTGTGATTGTCTTCTGGTTTAGTATATCTCCCTCCACTGGGGCCCTCCCACAGTTCATTCTCTGCATGGCAATCAAAGTGATCTTCCTAAAACACAAGACTGACAATGTCAGTCTCCCACCAAAAACCCACGTGGGGATAGAGCAAAACTCTACAGCACAATATACAAGGCCCTTAATTATCCATCTCCAACTTATAGCTTTAGTTTTGTCCCTGAGCATACCATCTCCTACAACTAGACTGAAACATTTCAGATGCCCAGCAGCTGCATGGTCTCTCAGCTCACGGTCATTGTACCTACTGTTCCTTTCTCTGAAATGTTCTTTTCTTTCCGTTTCTCTACCTGGCTAGGTTCCACTCATCCCTCTAGATGTCCCCTCCTACAGAAGGCCTTTCTGCCGTCTTCTGAACCAGCCTGGACATCCCTCACAGGAGAACGTGGGCCATGTGAGAAAAAGATAGATTTCCCTTATGACTTTCAATTCAGGCATATTGAATCCACCATTTGTAGTCTCTGCCTGTAATATCTCAGGCATCTGGTAGGTCTCTGATCACTGACAGCCACAAGGGCCACTGACAGCCACGAGCAAGACCTCTTGCTATTGTTAAATTTCTGCTGTTCTAAGGGTGACTGTGTGTCTTCTTGAAGTGATTCTCTCAAAGGAAAATTTACACCACTTGTATAATGCCTGATCTTTCAAGCTTACCTCCAGATTTGATTAAAAAAAAAAAAACAACTCTATAGCTGTTTTTACGTGAAAACAGCTTTCATGGGAGAAAATAAAAGTTGAAAACATAACTGTATGCCTAGATTACGTTCCTAAGCCTGTAAAGCTTCTGACACTATGTGAGTGGGCAGTGAATTTGTGGGAAGAAGGAAGAGAGAGAAAGAGAAAATGGATAATAGGGCAGTCGAGAGAAGGAAAGAAAGGGAGCAGGAAAAAGCTAGAAGAGATAACATTTTGTCATAGTTGCCATTTATCTTCAGTAGCCACACTGAATTTCACCCTTGCCAGCCTTTCCTTCTACCAAGCTCATTTGTGATGTTCTCATCTGACCACACTTGTGGCCACAGCTTGGCAGCCCCATCCACCCCATACTCCATGCAGTGTCTAGTCACACATGAGCCTGGGCTATCTTCCCTCCTTCCCACTGGCTTCTTTTATATCTTGGCTGGGTGGATGCAGGATACACCATGGGCCAGCTGTCTCCTCCAACTCCATGTGTGTGATAAGGCTAAACATCTTTGAAATTTGAGATAATTGAAGGGTTTCCTTAGAAAACCCCAACCAGACAGGCCATAGCCAATAGCATTTGAACATGTTCAAAGTAGTTGGCAATATTTTAAATTTAAGAGATTCTCCACAACAATTTGAAGTTTCAGTTTCTTCCCAAAATTGAAAGAAGTAGCAACATGGGGCCAGCTCTGGTTGGATTTCAGTAGAGCTGCTTATTTCAATGATGGCACATGGCTCTCTCTCTAGTTTGCCACAGGCCCCACCCCTCCTTATCATGCCCCAATATTGAAGCCAAGTGCAAGTTGCGATTTGTCAGCGTGCTCTCATTTTATTTGAACTATATTTGCCTTACACCTGACTATGTTTATTCATTGATGTTCTCTGTGAGACCCCAGAAACCCTTGAGTGTGCACTGTGCAGACCAGACATTCTCCACGCATGCAAAGCAGATGGCTGCCCAGACAGGGCTCATCTCTTTAGCTTTGAACAAGGGCCTGTGCGCTATCATTTCTTGCTGATAATTCATGCCCAAAGGGAAATAGGGAAGAATTCTTTTTTACTAACCCAGAGTCTCCAAACATGACTTCTGACTTCCCGTTTGTCCTTTTCCCCCAGCTACTGGCATTAGCACCTTGTTATCATTATTGTTACCTGATCTCATTACCTCTCAGGCTCTTTACCTCCCAATGCAGGATTTGCCCTCAAGGTAAATCTGTTGCCCGCCCAAGAGATAATAATACTTATCAGGACCTTCTGTAGTGTTTCTGGACCTTTTGGGATTGAACCACATTTTGCACACATAAAGCCCTCTATTATCACCACTATTGTTGTCATTATTATTATTTGGGATTAGGCAGCCTTCTCAGAAGTCTTGCCAACCACAGGCAGGTGCCACCCCAGAGTCTCACCCGGCCGGGCACAGTGACTGAGGCCGGACGCACCTGGCTGTAGTATGCTGGTTCAGCCTGCAGAGTCTTGGGCTCTTGCCAGAGAAGAAACCTGCCCTGAAACATTCACTCCTCCCTTTATGCAGGAAATAGAGAGCGGGCTGGGGTTGAGCAGGAGGCCTTGTCCACACTGTGCTGTTGGATTATCATTGCTGCAGCAGTCCTCAAACCAGGCAGATCCTTACAGAGCCAGATTCTCTGTCTGTCTCAGAAGAGAGGGATGTACAATAGAGTTTGGAGTCAGAAGCTGGGTTCCCACCCCACTGTCACTCTATAACTGTGTGAGCCTCCAGCAACTGATTGACTCTTCTAATCTCTGGTTCCTCATTGGTAAAATGCGGATACATCCCAACTTCATGATAATACCATAAGATTTATATGTAAATAAATTTGAAATTATATATACAAGTATTTAGGTAAATATCAATTTATAGTGTCTGATATATAGTAAACCCTCTATTAACTGATGAAGAAAGGGCCCCATCCCTATTCAGGCTTACAGCACCACCCAGAAGTTAACTGTTTCAGCAGCAGACCTGGAGGAAATGGACAAGATGCCCTCAGCAAGCAGAAGTGAATACAAACCTCTCTCACCAAGACAGTAATTCCCAGTCAACGGCATGCTGCCTGCCACGTGAATTCCTATTTTTTTATTCTCCATCTCTCACTGACTCCCAACCAAATGCCTTCCATCCAAGGAAACATGAGTCCTTTTCTCTTTTTGATACACAGCCTCTCCCTCTGTGATACCCATTGATCAAGTTTGCCTCAGCAAAGAGGTGGGGATATGGAGCATCAACGCTGCTTTCTAATCCCTTTACTTTGCCCTTTTCTCTTCTAAATTGGAAAAAAAAAAGCAAGCAAGCAAACAAAAACAAAACAAAATGCAAAGCAGCTTAAAACTTTCAACATTTCAAAACACTTAAAGGAAAATATATTGACCCAGAGATGCCAGGGAAGAGCTGGGCATGAGAAGGGCAGGGATGGAAACAAGTCTCAGGAAAACAGGAGCCAAGGAAGAAGATTCTGCCAGGACCCTCTCTCCATTTCTTGTTTCTAGTTCTTTCTGCACCTCTGCTTCATTCCTTCTCACTACGAAATGTCAGTAATCACAGCTACAGCACTGCACAGCTTTGCAGTTATTAGAAAGTCAATCATTAGACTGGCTTATACCCTTTCTGATACCAAACTTTAAAATCTGAGAGAAGCGATTTGAGTGGCCAGCTTTGGTCAGGAGCCCATTCTTGGATCAATCAACTATGGCTGTGGCTACTGATGGTGTAGCTTGGTCAGAAACAAACCCCTAGGCCAACCAATTGGTTGGGACGATGAGCTCATGTCAGAAGATGGAAGCTGCTGTTATAAGCTGTGGTTGAAGGAAAGAGAGGCAAGAGAAGAGAGGCCACCTATTATAGGATACATAATGGAACTAGATTATCTTTTTGTGAAACTTTCTAAGTTGCCGAACCAGGAGCTTCTCAAGAATGGAAACTAAGCTTTGTATTCTGGCCGTGATAAGGACTGAAGAAATGTTCATAGAACTGAATTGAAATGTATCTGACCAATTGTAAAGCTGTGTGTCCATCTTAGATCCTATGTGTCAGGGAACAACCAAAAGATCAGCTGCAGAAATGAAGATCATACTTTGCCTGAGGAGAAATTTTCCAACAAACAGAATTGCCTGGAAATGTAAACAGAAGCATCAGAAAGCTAAGTACCCTCTTTTAATGGAGGCCTTCAAGACTAAGTAAATGACTGTTTGTCAGGGATGTTGAGGAGGATGCTTATACATTCACCTAAATGCCCTTCTAAAAACTTGATTATGATTCTGCAAACTTAGTCAAAGATAAAAAATTCACCATGCCTAGACCAAGCTTCCCAGGACACCAAAGAAAGGAGAAATAGCCACAGCAATACAGCCAATGCTTCTGCGGGCCACATCTGAACATATGCTTTGATGTGATCCAGCCCTTCTTCTTCCTAGTGATGCTGGTCATGGGTGATGAATTAAAGGACTTCCTTGCCTCCATCAGTGTACCTGCCTGTTTACAGACTAAAATGTGCCCAATTTAAAATGTCCTCACTCCTGTTTTGTTCCAAGACATAAGACTTCATTTAACTGCATCTATTGTACAATGAATAAATTGAAACTATATGCTATTTGGGCACTATTTCTAATCTGTTTTTCACCAAGAGCTGCCTGGTAAGTTGGCATCTTTGATTTTTATTAGCATTTTCACTCTTATCTCATACAAAGCTCTGCACACTTGAGAGATTTCCTTAAAGGGAGTTTTCCTGAATCACCAGTCACTGTAATGTGATGAAGGAAAATGTGATAATAGGACTAGCATCACCCCCATGATGCGAGCCCACCTGGGAAATCCTGGGCAGGTACAGGAAGGGAGGTTTCCTGGGATATCTTTTACCAGAAACTGGGGCATTGGTTCTCAGAGAAGAGCTGTGGTGGCATGCTAGAGCTAAGTCATATTAGCTTATGAAAGCCAATTATTCAATTTTTAGGAATTTTGTGAGCCCATTGTTAAACCATTGGTAGCTTGAAATCAGACTTGGAGTATTTATATTTCAGCAAGTGCTATGAATCAGGCTCTCCAGCATATCCCCTCCCCTTTCCCCTAGTTTAACAGTACCCCTTCCCTTAGTTTAATAGTATAGCTGTAACTAATCAACACTAGTCACTGCCTCTTTGCCAAATGACAGGACTGACCCTGTCAACAATTCTTAGCCAAAGCAGTCAGTGCTTCTCACAGTTCCACCACAGAACAAAGAATCTTGTTTTTCTGGCAATACCAATAGAGTCATGCCTCATTTTGTTGCACTTTATGGATATTGCAGTTTTTACAAGTTGAAAATTTTTGACAACTCTGTATTGAACAAATCTGTCAGCACCATTTTTTCCAAAGCATGTGCTCATTTTGTGTTTCTGTGTCACATTTTGGTAATTCTCACAATGTTTCAAACATTTTAATTATTATTATATCTATTATTATTACTGTACTCAGTGGCCTTTGATGTTATTACCGTAATTGTTTTGGGATGTCATGAACTGTGTCCATATGAGATGGTGAACTTAATTGAGAAGTGTTGTGCATGTTCTGATTGCTCCACCAACAGGCTGCTCCCCCATCTCTCTCCATCTCTTCAGGCCTCCTTATTCCCTGAGACACAACATTGAAACTAACCCAGTTAATAACCCTACAATGGCCTATAAGTGTTCAAGTGAAAAGAAGAGTCACATATCTCTCACTTTAAATTAAAAGCTACAGATTATTAATCTTAGTAAGAAAGATGCAATGAAAGCCAAGATAGATCAAAAGCTAGGCTTCTTGTGCCAAAGAGCTAGCCAAGTTGCAAATGCAAAGCAAAAGTTCTTGAAGGAAAATAAAAGTGCTACTCCAGTGAGTAAACAACTGATAAGAAGGTGAAGCAGCCTTATTACTGATCTGGAAAAAGTTTTAGTGATCTGTATAGAAGATCAAACTAGCCACAACATTCCTTTAAGCTAAAGCCTAATCCAGAGCAAAGTCCTAAATAATAGGATAGAATCTGTTAAATTTATGAAGGCAGAGAGTGGTCAGGAAGCTGCAGAAGAAAAGTTAGAAGCTAAACAGAGATTGGCTCATGAAGTTTAAGGAAAGGCCATCTCCACAATAATAAAGTACAAGATGAAAAGTGCTGATGGAGAAGCTGCAGCAAGTCATCCAGAAGACCTACCTAAGATCATTGATGAAGGTGGCTACACTAACAACAGATTTTCAATGTAGATGAAACAGACTACTGCTGAAAGAAGAAGACATCTTGGACTTCCATAGCTAGAGAGGAGAAGTTAAGGCCTGGCTTCAAAGCTTTAAAGGACAGACTGACTCTCTGGTTAGGGGCTAATGCAGCCAGTATCTTTAAGTTGAAGCCAATGCTAACTTATCATTCCAAAAATCTTAAGAATTATGCTAAATCTACTCTGCCTATGCTCTGTAAATGTAACAACAAAGCCTAGATGACAGCACATCTATTTATAGCATGGTTTACTGAATATTTTCAGCTGCTATTGAGACCTATTTCTCAGAAAAAGATTCCTTTCAAAATAGTACTGCTCATTAACAATGCACCTGGTCAACCAAGAACTCTAATGGAGATGTACAAGGAAATTCATGTCATTTTCATGCCAGATAACACAATATGTATGCCACAGCCCATAGATCAAGGAGAAACTTGACTTTCATGGCTTATCATTTAAGAAATACATTTTATAAGGCTGTACCTACATAGATAGTGATTACTCTAATAGATCTGGGTAAAATACATTGAAAAACTACTGGAAATAATTCACCATTCTAGATGCCATTAATCATATTCATGATTCATGGAAAGATGTCAAAATATCAACGTTATAGGAGCCCGTAAGAAGTTGATTCCAACCTTCATGGATAACTTTGAGGACTTGAGACTTCAGTGGAGGAAATACAGATGTGATAGAAATAGCAAGAGAAGTAGAATCAGCAGTGGAACCTGAAGATGTAACGGAATTGCTGCAATCTCATAAAACTTTCACAGATAAAGAACTGTGTCTATGGATGAGCAAAGAAAATAGTTTCTTGAGATGAGATCTACTCCTGGTGAAAATGCTATGAACATTGTTGAAATGACAACAAATAATTTAGAATATTATATAAACTTAATTGATAAAACAGAAGTAGGTTTCAAGAGGATTGACTCCAATTCTGAAAGAAGTTGTACTGTGGGTAAAATGCAAACAAACAGCATCACATACTATAAAGAAATATTTCCTGAAAGGAAAGTCAATGAATGCAGAATATTTTATTGTTGCCTTATTTTAAGAAACTGCGTCAGCCACCCCAACTTTCAGCAACCACCACCCTTAGCAGTCAGCAGTCATCAACATCTAGGCAAGACCCTCCACTAGCAAAAAGATTACAATTTGCTACACAAATAAGAGAGTTTCAAAAGTACTATAAGATCTTCTTTGGCACAAATTTATGTAGCTTTTCCCTCCCCAATAAAAATATAATTCTGAGCATACTTTACAAATTCTATTCCTAAAACAATCTGTTGCTTGGGGAAAGCCAGGTTAAATGAACATGCCAGTAGTCTTGGCTTAAAGATTTTGAAGACTTAACCCTCTAAACCTGTGCTGACACTTCAGAGATGGGCAGTCAGGAGTTCCTGGTAGTTCCTCATAGCTGTACAATTAGAAACGTGAAATGTCAGTGGAAGTCTAAGTCAGCTCTTGACTGTAAAGACTTCTGTCCCTTTCTCAGCCACTGCAAAGCCTTATAAGCTGAGAGACCTTAGGGACAGTAGAATCTTGAAGCCCATCTAATAAATAAGCTACAGACCCAGGAGAAGCATGTTGAAATAACATTAAAGAATTTTTCTATTCTTTAACTACAGCAGGGTGATAGGAAGCCTCTTGAGGACTGAAGAAATGGGGCACTGTGGTATCCCAGGATGTTACTTCAGGATTCCTTTCTAGTCACAGCATTATCAGATTTCCAAAACATGCAGAAGCCAAGGGAGAAAGTTCCCGGGTGGCTTTGAAAACATGTCGAACAAATCTGAGGCAGCAGTTTAGTGCCTTGAGTGGTCATACATCTCAAACCCAGCCTGTGCAAGCCTGGAACTTGTACATGAACTGGCAAAAAAAGATAAAGCAGGGTATAAGCAGATCCCCTGTTTATATAACATCACCTATATAAAGAATGCATCACAATACCTATGATGTTCAAGGTAACCCATAGTTAGAATTGAAATTGGGGTTGGAGTTGTGGTTGTGATTGGGATTGGAGTTGTAGTTGGCTTTGGTGTTTGTATTGATGAAATATTTGGAATCTTTCTGGTGTCTCTGAAATCACAATCATGTGTCAGATCCCAAGCCACTGATTTCTAAGAGAAATCTGGCACTAACTCCCCAGAGGGATCATGAATTTCTTTAGGAGTAAAGCCTGTATCTTAAAGTTCCTTTATCTCCACAACTAACTCTGTGCTCTACACAAAGAAAATGCTTGGTAAATACTTAAGTGCTCTAATTTGTTAACAATGCAACCAATCTTCAAAGTCCTTTTAGGTGATTTTGTGAATCAGAGAGAAAGCAGAAGAGTTTCCTCCAAGCAAGAAGCTCAAGGACTCTGACTCCTTAACCGCCTGAGCCATTTGTTTGACCTTAGTCTCTACAATAAACACCATTTGAGAAAGTCTGCATACCAGGGATTTCAAGGGAAGTTCAAAATAACTAATAGTGTTGCTATCTTGAAAATTCTCATTGTTCTTACCCTCAGGCATCAAACTCTCACTGATCTTCCATCTAAAGAGAATGCCAGATAGACAAATTTCTCCAAAACCAGTGTAGACATTGTATAGAGTTTTTCCTACTTACGGAATTAAAATAATAAAGACAACTCTGAAGAAATTAGCCACAGCCCAGTCCCAATTTGCCCTGTGTGTGTCTAAGTGTGACCACTTTGATGACACATTGGCTTAACTTCTTCAGGATGGAAATACTCAAGAGATGTTTATTTTGTCTTTTTAATGCTGACAATCACCTCAGAGCAAGGACAAACCTTAGCACATAAAAAAAATAAAATTTAATTTAAAAAAAAAAGCCTCTTCATAGTGCCAAGGAGCATGGGAAAATGAGAGAGGGTATCATGAAATTCTGGAAAATGAGATGTTTGATGGGTATTTCCTGGTTTAAGAAGTTGTTTATTCAATCCAGTTGAGCCATATGGGGGTGGCCGCAAGGTGTGCCCTAAGACTTGGTGATAATTGCAGGGTGGCTAGAGGCCAGAACCTCAACCTCAGGTAAGAGCCAAAATTATATAGCCAAGCACCTATTAATCAGGATTAACCTCCAAGGATGCCAACTCTGGAAGTTTCTTCACAAATAAGCATCTTCGTGTACACTTTAAAAAGAAAACAAAACACTCATTTTCTCAGATGGAGTCATCTGGCCTGGTAGCTCCGGAAAAGATATTTTAGCCCCATCATGAAAGTAAACTAGTCAACGCCCTCAAAGAAGTTAGGGTGGGTCTAATGAGACTCCATAGCCCTCCCCATGGGCCTGTTCCTAAAGCCCACTTTTCTTTTCTATGAGTTTCATATTTCTGGGAAATCTGTGCTTGTGGCAAAATCAGAAGCAATCTCTGAAGGCAAATAGAGAATTGAGGTCATTTGACACATATTCAGACCAAGGAGACACTTTTATTTCAATTACCTGCTTATTTCCAGAAAAAAAAAAGGAAAAAGAAATTAGGCTCTACTAGATTTAGGACTAAATTTTGTTTACATACCTCAAAATGTATTTTTGCCCAAATTCATTTTCTCCTTTCCCTATTTGCTGAGGAGCTGAAGATGGCCTGAGGCCAGGGAATAAGGCAGGACCCTCCCCTGAGACAAAGCTTAAAAGAGTACAGGAACGCTGGGGTCCCAAATATCATGAACAAGTCTGGAGGAACACAAACACCTAGAGGATGGGTCCATGTCTCTAGCAAACACTTGGATATTTTCTTTGGTTTACAGCCTATATGTTTGGTCCATTATGGTGTACTAGGTGAATGGGAGTCCAAGCAGCAGAGGTTTTTCAGAGCTCTGAAAGTCCTGAATATTTTAAGGATTTTACTTTCAGTTTTCCTGTGTCTTGGCAGCTAGGCCATTAATAAGAAAATGGATGCTTAGACAAGTTGGGCATTTGGAGGTAAAAATTCTCCCAAAAGGAAAATGATAGACCTTTGATGGGCAGTTATATGTTGGTCAATACTTTGGGGAAACTCTGTGAGTTTCAGGCTGCCCATACATAATAAGGAAACCACTTATAGTTTGTTATCATATAAAGGAATTACTGTGAATTGCTTTGCAAATGTGGAAATTCGATAGTTTGGAAGAATCTACTCTTGTTTCAAAGTATTTAGATGATTGCAGTTTTTGAAAAAAACTCATAGATGATCATAAAGACAAAAATCTTACTTATAGAATGTAATAACAGCATATAATGTAAAATATCTCCTCTAATCACAGGGGGGATGTACGTAAATACAAAAATAAATAATAATCTGCTTGATCAAAGTTACTCTACTGAGATATTTTCTGGTCTAACTTACATAAAACACATTTTATGGACACCTGACTTTTATTTTAATCTTTCATCCAAAGCAAAGATGAATTTTTACTGAGCTCCATGTCTTAAAATTATAACTCTTCGTTTTGATCAGACTTTGTAGTATACATAAATTAGCAAACATACACAGCATCTTGCTGTTAAAAACAAGTTGTTTTAATGAAAACATAACCTGAAAATCAAGCAGTATTTTTTGGAGGGAAAAGACATTGGTTGAAACTGCAGTGTCTTATTGACATTAAAAACAGTTGACATAACTCTGCAAGGTGCTGAAATTTAACTTTTGTACGTTTTTATTATACCTAGAGTATCAAAGATAACAGAATTTATTCATAGAATGGCAGTCATTGAATTCAGTTTTCTGGTACAATTTTCTTCCCATATAAACTCATAAAAA